GGCCCTTTTATGTCCACCACTTTTTTAAAAAGTTAATTTACTGATTTTAGAGAGAGAGAAGAAGGGGGGAGAGAGAGAAACATGGAATTGTTGCTCCAGCTGTCCGTGCTTTCACTGGTTGAGTCCTGTCTGCGCCCCGACTGGGGATTGAACCCGCAACTCTGGTGCATCAGGATGAAGTTCTAACCAGCCGAGCCCCCTGGCCAGGCTCCACCATTCACTTTTTAAACGTCTCTTTCTCCGTCCTGACGGGTGTGGCTCAGTGGGTTGGGCATTGTCCTGCAAACTGAAAGGTCAGCAGTTTAATTCTTGACCAGGTCCCAGCGAGAGGCAACCGGTCAGTGTTTCTCTCTTGAAGATCCGTGTTTCTTTCCGTATTTCCCTTCCCTTTTCTCTAAAAGTAAATAAAATATTTAAAAATAATAATAACAAAATAAGAGTCTCCAATAACTTTATCGAGATTTAATTTACATACAGTGAAATGGTCCCCTTCTCAGCGTCAGTTCTGATGAGTCTTGACTGTTGCGTACACTGTGTCATCGTCACCACAACCATTTGCCCCACAGGCTTCCCTGGGCCCCTCCCTGTCACCCCACTCTGGCCCGGGGCAGCTGGCACCCTGCTCCGTCATTGCAGGTCACCTGCCTTTCCTGGACGGCTGTACTCAGCAGACGTCCTGGAGACTCACCCTCGTCTGGCACCTGTCGGTGGTTGGTTCCCCTTGTGCTGCTGAGGACTGGTCCCCTAGGCGGACCCACCACCATCTGTCTGTTCGCGGCCAAGGCACACGGCTCTCTGGGCCGCTTCTGCGCAATGCCGCAGAGACATCCGTGCACGAGTCTCTGTGTTTCGCTTGGGCAAGCGCCTAGGAGTGGGACAGCTGGGCTGCCTGGGAGCACACGTGTAGCCATGTGACAGGCCACCGGGCCGCTTCCGACACTGTCCCCTCTGACGTCCTGCCAGAGAAGGGGGTGAGAGTCCCGTACGCCCGGAGCCTTGCCCAGTACACGTTGTGTCAGAAGGTCCTGGGTTGTTCCAGGGAACTCAGCTTCTGGGACTGGCCCCTGTCCTCCACGGAAAGGTCCGGGCTCAGCTGCTGGCTTTGTTTTCCAGAGGTGTGAGGGGTGCTGTGGACCTGCACGCACCAGACTGAGGAAGGGCTCACCCAGAAACTCAAGCCCCCTCTGGGAGCCCTACGTTTGCTCCAGTTCTTTGGAGAAGTCCTGTCTGGCGTGGGACAGGGAGCCGAACCGGCTGCCAGCTGCTGCGGCCTCGGCGTGGGAGACGGCAGCTGTTCCCACCCCACCGCACAGGCCTGCCCCACCTGCAGCGCCTATTCTGGGGCTGCTTCCTCCCTGCACCTCCTACTGCTTTCCTCCTCCCCCGCCCGGTTGAAATCCCATCTCCTGAGCCTCTCTTCCCACTCCCCACCTGCCTTCTGTGCTCCTCCGCCAGTCATTTCCACGAGGCCTTGGGGGGAAGGGAAGGAACTGGGTGCCAACCCCCTCACCGGGGGCGTGAGGCTACAAACAGCGTATGCGGTGTCCACTTTTATAAAAGTGTATGTAAATAAACTTGGCAAAATGACAAAATAGACATAACAATGTTTATCTGAGCGATGGAGTTAAAGCGAAGATCTGTGGGTTTTTAAGTTTTTAAAGAATACTTTGTTTTCTGCAGACTTTGTTTATGAGGGGGGCTGTTTGCACAGCAGCCGAAGCCCCCAGTGCAGAGACAGGAGTTTCTTTGTGGGTGCCCCCCACCCCCTTCCCCCAGGAGGGCAGAGACCCCATATGGGCAGAAGTCAGGGTATTCCCCAAGCCTCCGGGTAACTTTCCTTCAGGGGCCTCTGCACTCAGCTGGCCCTGCCTCCTGGGCTCGGCCGACATCTGATCCGCAGGCACAACGCCGGGGCTCAGGTTTCCCAGCCAGCCTCTCCCCCTCAGAAGGAGTCTGCTTGCAATGGAAAGGCCCAAGCCGCTGCCCAGCTGGAGGGGTGAGTGCACCCAGAGCAAAGGGCGTGGCCTCCAGGGGCCTCCCAGGAAGGGTGCTGTCCTGGTCCACTGGGGCCTGCAGCCTGTGAGCAGAGCGCTGGCCTGCGGGCCTCTGCCCCCGAGCCCCCGCTCCAGGCAGGCTGCAGGCGGGACTCCTGCCTCAGTTTCCCTAGCTATGAGATGACGCTGCTCCAGTCTGCTCAGCAGCAGGGAGAAGAGAGAAACTTAGGGACAGACACGGGGGGGTTGCAGCCCAGCACCCACCCGGCCCGGCTGTCAGAACGCAGACAAACAGGCCCTGTGTCCACTTTCTCACGAGAGACCCAGGCAGGGGCTCTGGGGGTGCAGTGGGCACAACCGCCCATCCAAGTCTTTCCCCAAAACAGATCAGGAAAGAAGAAATCCACGCCGTTCTAAATGGACAGCCTGTTCACAGCTGCGGCCCAGCTCTGACAAAGGCCCGCACACACTCTGGGGTCTGCTGGGATTGAGGGCGATTTCCAGGGGCTGCTTCTGCGTGTTTACAAACGAGGGACCAGCCAGGCACCGCCCCCCAGGAGCCCGGGCCATTGGGTTACACCTGAGCTGTATGGACTCGGTCCAGAACCAGCCCACCTCACCTGCCCCCAGCTGGCTAGCACCCGGCCCGCCCCAGACTCCAGTGGGCTTCGGTCTGGAATGGCGGGCCCTACTCCCCGAGCTGGCCCGCCGCCCTCCGACACCTCCCCAAGTTCCCTGGCACAGCTGCAGGCAGGAGTTTGCACTGCCGTCATTGCCCTTTTGGAACAAAGGGCATCGTCTGCGGGGTGCTCCCCCGGGGCCAGGCACCGCAGAGGCATCACCGCCCCGACGCTCACGGGGCCCTCGGACGCAGGCAGGCTGTTCCTGTTTACCAGGCAGGCCGTGGGGGCTCAGAGAGGCTCAGGCGTGGGTCAAGGTCACACAGCTCCAGCTGGCTGCTGCCCCACGTCCCCCCACTAACTCCTTGGGGCAAACAACACAATGTGTGCTCTTCCATCCTCAACACCGTCTCTTACTCCGCACCCATGGGCGAAGGTGTGAAAGGGAATCTCTTTGTGGAGAAAGTTTGGGTGTGTTTCTTCTCTGCCCTCTGCTGTGTCCTTCCTTAGTTCTTTGTAAATAACTGAGTTACAGTGCTGTTCATTCATATGGTATGTGTGTGTATGTATGTGTATATGTGTATGTATGTGTGTGTATATATGTGTATATGTGTGTGTGTATATATGAGAAACCCCTTTACTTACCTGATACAGGTAGAGATGGAGGGGGTCTATGAACATATTGTTTGTGTACACAACATATATTTAGTCACGTTTTAATAAGAAAAGTTTTAAATATAATGATTCTTCATATAGTCACATTAAAGCACACATGTATCATGAAGATAATGTTCATCTAAAACTGATCACAACATAGCACACGGACTGGATGCAGGAGTGTGGAGACTAAAAGTTCTGAGACCGCAGCCAGTGAGCCAGGGACCCCGGAGAGCCGGCACCGTCAGCTCCAGCCAGAGGCCGAGTCCAAAGGCGGGCGGAGACCCACGTCCCAGGGCAGACTGACAGGCGGAGACAGTTCCGTCCCCCTCGGCCCCTCATTCCCCTGCGGCCTCCAGTGGCCTGGGTGAGGCCGACCCTCGCCGGGGCCAGACGTCTGCTTGAGTCAATCTACTGAATCGAATGTTCACCTCGTCCAGAAAACCCCCAAGGACACCCCAAAACAACGTCTGAGAAATATCTGGGCAGCCCACGGCTGGTAGAATTCCACAGCCTGCCACCTGCCTGGGTTTGCCCAGGACCGTCCGCTGCTGTCTGCGTCTGGAGGGCCAGTCTCGCCTCCTGGCGGCCCACCCGGGGATGCGGCCGGTCTGTTCACTGCACCGACAGTGCCAGGATGGGCACCTCGGCAGGAAGGGCGGGTCACGGCCCCTCCCCTGGGGCTTTGGAGGGGTCTGCTCCGCCATGGGGCCCGAGTCCCTGCGGCCTCCGAGTGCCCGCCAACACGCAGCGTCGCCCCCTTTCCAACTGTTGGACGGGGCGCGGGGCGTGGAGTTGCTCCGACCGTGCGATTCTCTGATCACGGAAGAGCTTCAGCGTCTCTCCACGCTCGGGGCGTGCGTTTAGGGGCCTTCTCCTGTGGACGGCCGCCTCGCCTCCTTCGCCTGCTTTTCCATCCTGTTCCCCTTTCTGGCTGAATGGCAGGAGCTTCTTGTATAGTCTAAGTGGTAACCCCTTGTCTGTTTTAATTTTTCTTAAAAAATACTGATTTTAAAGAGAGAGGGATGGAAACACTGACCTGTTGTTCTACATGTGGACGCATCATTGGTTGATCCCTGTCTGTGCCCTGATCAGGGCGGAGCCCACAACCCTGGTGTGTCGGGATGACGCTCTCACCCGCTGAGCGACCTGGCCAGGGATGCTGAGTCTGTTTTAAATGTTGCAAATGTCTCCTGCTGGTCACCAGGCTGCTGGTTGGTTCACGGAATCTCTGACTGAACAGACACCTTTCACTGTGATATAATCAGGGCCTCCGTGTTTCGCCATAAGGCTTGCTTATGCCTTTGAGGTCATGAGGAGTCCTCCTCCTGGCCCTGGGAGGGAGTCTCCTTCAGTGTCTCCTTCAGGTCGTGGTGTTCCTCTTCATTTAGAGTTCCATTCGCCTGGAACAGAGTTTTATTTCTTCAAACATATTAGTAGTCAATTCAGGATCGTGGAACCAAGAGGCATATTACAATGCTTTTCTGTACTTGAACATTTCCAAACTTTTTTTAAAGGTTGTATTTATTCAGTTTTAGAGAGAGGGGAAGGGAGGGAGAAAGGGAGAAAAACATCGATGTGGGGAACATTGATCGGATTGGTTGCCTCTGGCGCACTCCCAGCTGAGGACTTGGCCCCAAAACAGGCCTGTGCCCTGACAGGGAACTGAACTGGCGACCTTTCGGTTCGCTGGCAGGCGTTCAATACACTGAGTCACACCAGCCAGGGCCATTTTCAAACCTTTAATGTATCTAAAAGTATTGAGTTCATTGTGCAAAATACAGGTGTCAAGATAAGAAAACCAAATCACGATGCCCCTGTGTGGACAGAACCACCAGCAAGACTTTCCTGTGCCTCGTGCACACGTGTGCATGCACACACGGAGTGGCACAGCACACACGTTTCCGTGAACTTCCTGAGCGAACTTCGCACCCTTGTCTTTGGAACGCAGTAAGGTGAGGTGCTCTTCTTGAAGGACAGGCTTTGCCCTTGGGGCTGCCTCTCCCCTCCTCTGTGTAACCTGCCACCTACCAGGCTCCGGGGCAAGTCCCCTACAGCAGTCAGTTCACTGGGACAAGGTCACCTGAAGCATCCTTCCCTGCCTTGGCTTCCTCCTGAGGGGCTGGACCAGGCACTTTCCAAGTATTCGCAGCTGTGCTCAAGTGCCTAGTGAAGGTAAGGTACCAGGTGGACTGAAACCAAATCACTGGTCCAGACCAGTCCCAGCCAGTTCAGTCCAGGTGGTTCCATACTGACCAGCTGGGTCCAGATGAAGCCAACACAAAGCAATGGAAGCCAGTCAGGTGGACTTGGGGTGAACTCTGGGAGGAGGGGGTGTAACAGCCAGTCCAGTGGCCTGGTCTTTGTCCAGCAGCCCAGGTGGGAGGGGGTTATTCTAGGGACCCTCAGGATTTTGTTGAGTCCCTGTCATTACCTGGCATCTACCAGGGTTCCGCTGAACCCCACCAGAATCTTGTCTCTTCCCTCTACCTTATGTCATGTGGGTTTGCACCTTGCTCATTCATTGTTGCTGAACTTTTAAAAAAATTTTTTCTTGGGTCATTTTGCAGCATGGGGAGAAAGATTCATTCTGGGATATTTCCAGTGCAGAATCCCGACCCAGAAGTTTCCGGCAACACCTGCACCTCCGTTCACTAGAAATAGCATTCCAGCCAGGAAAGAAGTGTTACATTTTCTAGTAGCCTCACTAAAAAAGAAACAGACGAAATTAACTTAATAATATATTTTACTTAACCAATATATCCAAAAAACTTTAAATCGACACAAAATTTTAGAGCACCGAGACACTCTGCCGTCTTTTCTTTCCAGTCTTATACACCGTGGGCGGATTTCATCCACAGCATTCCCGCCTGCGGCCGCCGCTCCGCCAGCGCTCACCGGTTACCGGCGGCTACGAGACGCCGTCCCGGCCCGCTTCAGAGTGGTTCAGGACCTCTCCTCCACCCGATCCCCGCCCCCGCAGCCCCGGAAAAGCAACACCTCCTCCCCGCGCCCTTCCACTGCAGTTCAACACCTGCCCCGCCCCGCAGGAACAGGCACCGGTTAAACACACCCAGGAGGAGACTTCCGTGCGCTCGCCGACAGGGCGACGGTCACAGACCCCGTGTGGACACAGCTGAGTCGCACAACCCACGCCACTGCCATGAATAAACGTGTCCTGGCCTGAGGGCTGCGCAATGCTCCGCTCGGGGGCGGGCGGACTCGGCGGGCCTGATCAGCTCCCCGACGCCCGGGAACCCGTTCCCTCCTTTGTAGCGTGAGGATAAGAAGTAGTAGCGTCCTGTCTACCCCGAAACACAGTCGTGAAAATCCAAGGGAGGGGTGGGTGTGGATCGGCCGGAACCGCGGGAGCAGCGTCCGGAACCCGGCTCCAGGCCACGGGGTCCAAGACCCTAGCTGGGTGCCCGGCAGGGGTCCCTCTGCAGGGCGCGCACCGCTGGGCCGGGGCGCCCGCACCGCTGGGGGCCCAGCTGGGGTTCGGGCAGCTGGGAGGCCAGGCCGGCGGCGGGGCGAGGGCGGCGGCGGGCACCGGACTGGACGTGAAGTGGTCCGGCTGGTGCCCTCGGGAGACCCGGTGCCCTTGGACACACTGCCCCGCCTTACCGCCCTCTCTTTTCCTCACCTCCCACCCCGCACGTTTCCCCGCCCCTGCGAGTCAGTCTCCGCCCCTGATTGGCCGTACTTCTAGTAGTCGCTTCTGCATTGGTCGAGCGCTTCAGGTGGCGTGGTCAGTATTGGTGAACGTCGACATTGCTCCCGCCCCCGGCTCTGGGTGCAGCGCGCGATTGGCTGGCGCTGGAGCGGGCTGCTCCTGGGGCCGGGCCTGGGCGGTGCGGACTAGGCCTCTGGCGGAGGCGGCGGCGGCGGCGGCGCGAGGCAGGTAAGGTCCTAGGCGGGGGTGGCGGTGGGGGTCGGGCCCTGGCTCTGGCTCCGGTACGGCCGCGGGGATGGGGTGGGCCGGGCGCCCACACGGCCGGTGGGGGGGCTGCGGGGACGCGCCGAGTTGCGGACTCCGCCCGGGCCGCCAACGACAGGCGCCTCCGCCTCGGCGCCCGCGGTGTTCGCGGCCCGCGGCCGCTCAGCCGGGGCGCCCCGCCTCTCTCGGTCCCTCCGCCCGTCCCTCAGTCCCCCGGAGCCCGCGGGGTCGGCCGCGTCCCGGCGGCGTCGGCGTCGGGCACTCGCCGCCCCCGGTCTCGGCACGGGCGGCGCTCAGCTCTGCGGAGCCGCCCCGAGCTCCTGGCTGGAGCCGTTTCCTTCCCTTTATTCCGTGTCCCAGGCTCTCCTCTGCCCTGCGCTCCGCTCGCGCGGGTATCTCGGCCCCCGGCCGGCTTCGCGCGGTCTTATCGCTGCGCCGCGGTTTCCGTCCGCTCCCGGGAGGGCTCCTCGGGCTGTCTTCCGATAGCCTCGTTACCCTGCCTTCAGCCTCCCAGCGCCCTGTCGGTGTTTTTTTCCCCCCTAAAAGTCAGCAGCACGTTCGCGCTGCCCAGCGGCGGGAGCGCCTGGTCCCCCCCGTGCGTGTGTCCCGTTCCTGCGCGAGTGACGCGCGGCCCGCGCCGCTCTGGTCTCGGGCGCCGACGCCGAGTGGCTCCGGCCCTGCCCGGGCGTGGGCGCGGGCGCGAGGCTGTGCGGGGTTCAGGCAGCCTGCCCCGGCCTCGGGCTCGGGCTGGGGCCCCGCACCCTAACCCCCACCCCCGTCCCCTGCCCCGGCCTCTGCAACGGCTGGGCTGCTGCTGCTGCTGCTGCTCGGGGTGCAGTGAATTCACCGCGGAGCCACACTGTGACCTGCCCCGTTAGCGCATGCGCAGTGCTCTCGGCTGTCAGCGCCCCCCGGGACCCGCTCCCACTGCTGCGCTTCCCGCCTGTGACCCTGAGGGCTTCAGACCACACGTGCCCTTTTGTGCCCGGCTTCTCTCTCTCAGCATCAAGTCTCCCAGGTGCCCCCGGGTTGTACCCGGTCTCCTCCGTCTCTCTTCCCGGCCGAGCGGCGCCCCGCTGGGTGAAGGCGCCCGACCCGGCGGACTTGGACTTCGTTAGCAGACCCTCGCGTTGTCCCGCCTTTGCCGGCCTGGAGCCCCTGCCCTGGGGGGGGTCGCTTCCCCCTCTTGGTGGCGTCCTTTCATGCACCGGGGTTTTTTGTTTGTTTGTTGTTGTTTTACCGTTTTAGCGCGTACGATTAGGCCTCTGACCCATTCTGAACTGTGTGTGTGCGGGGTGAGGCAGGGGTCCACCTTCATTCTTTTGCACGTGCACGTCCAGTTGTCCCCGCTCCGTGGTCCAAGAGGCTGTTTTCTGCCCCACTGGGTGGGCTTGGCCTGCAGGTAGGAAATCAGCGGACGGTGACTGGGGGGGTTCATTTCGGGACCCCAGTTTGCTCTGTCTGTCCTTGTGCCAGCTAACAACACACCATTTTGTGGTGAGTTTGGAGATCGGGAACCGAGTCTTCCAACTGTTTCTCAAGACTGATTTGGGCTGTTTGGGACCCACTCAGCTGCACGTGAAGTGAAGGAGGAGCTTTGCTGTGTGTGCGGGAGGGGCCGTGGGGGTGTGGCCGGCTGCGTGGCTGGGTGGGCAGGCTGGCGGTGCACGTCCTCCAGCCTGCGGGTGGCCTCGGGTTCACCGGTGTTTCCTCTGGCATGGCTCAACAGGGTGTCGTCCCCCCCCCCCGCCCCCGCAGTGGCGTCCCACCTCGCGGCGTCTCCAGGCCGCGCTGCAGACGCGCAAACGCAGACTGAGACTGGTGAGCGGGGACCAGGTCTGAAGCAAACGTGCGGCGTGGGGGGGGCCTTCCCGGCCGCGGGCGGGCGGGCGGGCGCCCCGCTGCACAGTTTCCCAGGCCCCAGTCGGGCAGCTCCTCCGTTCAGTTTATTCCGAGTTTGTTGGTCTTTTTGATGCTCTTGTAAGAGGAACTGTTTTCTTAGTTGTATTTCCAGGTTGTTCACTGTTGGTGTATAGAAATGCACCGGATTTCTGTGTGTTGGCCTTGTATCGAGTAACTTTGCACAGCGTTTACTAGCGGTAACAGTTGTTTGTGAATTCTGTAGGATTTCCTAAAGGTGAGACCGTGGCACCTGTGATAAGGAAGCCTTATTTCTTTCCCATTTGGGGGCCACATGTCTCCTCTTCAGGAGCCTAGCACAGTGCTGGGGGCAGGCAGTGGCGGGTGCAGCGTCCCAGGCTTGCTCCTGACCTTCCGGGAAAGCTCCTGGTCTTTCCCCGCCGGTTCCGAGGCTCGCCATGGGTTCTAAAACATTTTACTTATTTATTTTTAGAGAGAGGGGAAGGGAGGAAGCAAGAGAGGGAGAGAAACACCAATGTGTGGTTGCCTCTCGTGTGCCCCCTACTGGGGACCTGGCCCGCAACCCAGGCCTGTGCCCTGACTGGGAATCGAACCGGCGACCCCTGGGTTTGCAGGCTGGTGCTCGCTCCCCTGAGTCACGCCAGCCAGCCGCCGGGGGTTTCAGTAATGGCTCTGGTCGGCTGAGGGAGTTTCCCTCCAATCCTGGTTTGTTGAGTGTTTTCGTCATGGAGGAAGGGGTTCCCGTCCACCTGAGAAGACCGAGTGGCTCTGCCCGACCGCTTCTCGCACACACTCCCCTCGTCCCACCCCTCCTGGGTGCAGGTCCATCCCGCCCCCTCGCTTGCATATGGTCACAGGACCGCTGTCTGGTCTGGCGGGGGGGAGGTCCCCTGGTGTCTCCCAGCGCTCCCGGCTGCCCGGCGGGACCTCCGGGTTCCTGGCCTGTCGGTTTTCAGCTGCCCGTGTGTTCTGTAGCTCCCACGGTTCCCACCGCCATCTTCTCTCCCGAGGGTTTTGTTCTTTGGGGTTTGTGCGTGTGTGTATGTATAGGTGTGTACATACGTGTGTGTGTGTGTGTGTGTATTTTAAGAAGCCCCGCTGGAGAGGGTGTCTGGGAGACGGCGGCAGCCAACAGCGCCTGTGCCCCACGCACTGTCCCCGCCAGGGGGGTGGGGGGGCCCCTGTGAGGTCCCTTGTCAGAGCCGCGGGTGTCTGGCTGCGGGTGTCTGACCGGCCGCCTGCTCCTCGCCCTCAGTTGATGACAGTCCCGTGGTCTCCCCATTCTGCAGACGGCTGGCTGGGACTGGCTCGCAGGAAACGCCAGGCAACCCTTCGGGCCGGGGAGGTGGCGCAGGACGAAGCTGTCCGTAGCCTCTCCGGTGGGGCAGAGCCCTGGAGCGCGGTCCCTCTGCCACTGCTGCTCCGCGCCCAGTGGCCAGTCGCAGGGCAGACGGGGGGGAGGGGGGCAGCTGGGCTCCCGGGCAGGTGGGAAGCAGGCAGCGATGCCGGCTGGGCCGGGCTGCGAGTGTGCCCGAGGGGCGGCTGTGCTCCCTGCCGCCTGCGGGCAGTGCTGTGCAGTGGATCGGAAACTCTCGCTTTCTTCTCCCCTTGTCTTCTGAACTTGGAACTCATTGCCGTTTTAACTGCTTACCAGCCTCGAGTTTCAGGCGAAGGAGACCGGGCCAGCCCCGACCCCGTGGGTCTGTGTGTGAAACCGCTGGGCCAGCCAGACCCAGGGGAGCAGAGAGAGGGCACGGGGGACCGGTGCTCGCAGCGCGGCCTGCGCGCAGTTCGAGTTCTGTTTGTGGCGAGGCGTGCTGCCCGGCCGGCCGCACCGTCTCCCGTTCAGTTGCGTGGGGACGCTCGGCGAGTGGTTACCGCTGGGGACTGCAGTTCAGGGGGTGAGAGCCGGTGGCAGGTGCTTCCGACAGCGGTGCCGGTCGCCCTGCAGGCCCCAGACTGCGCGCGCTGTGGGCGAGCAGGTGCAGGCCGGTCTCAGGGGGGCGCTGGGCTCCCCAGGGCTGCAGCCCGAGGACAGAGCTGCCTGCTCTGGCCCTGGTCCTCCGGTCTCCCCCCGCGGCCTCTGTGAATGTGACTGGGGGATGTGAGCTCTGTCTGGGCAGGAGGAAGATCGATTCGGCGGTTCCTTTACTCGCTCCTCAGGTGGCAGGCCTTTGTAGCAGGTGCCCTGTCTTTGGGGGGACAGGCACTACAGGGGTGGTGGGGAGGCGGTGCTCACCTGACAGTGCAGGCGCAGAGCTGCTGCTGCGGTTCCTGGTGTCGCCCTGGTCAGCTGGGCGGAGGAACGGACAGCTGTTCCGAGGAGACGAGGAAAGAGGAGGGCCGTGCCCGCAGCCCTGGGAGACGTGCCGGGACGAGGGGCCCAGGCGCGCGCAGCCCTCGCTGCTCTGGCCGTCCGAGGGTGCTCGCTGGTCCCGCAGGCCGGCCTCCTCGTGCCCGCCCAGCCGGCGGGGGTGTGGCCAGGGGGCGGCAGGGAGGAGGGCGATGCCCTGGAGGGAGCACGCTGCTGGGGAGGGGGGGGGAGTGGAGGGGCAGGCTGAGTGGCCGCTGGTGGATGTGCTCTCCAGCAGGTGAGGAGGTGTCTCTGCCCCGCGTTTCCGCAGGGATTGCAGGCGTGGCTGCAGGGGCAGAAGTCCGACCAGTAGGGGTGATGCAGGACGAAGCGGACTGTTGTTGCGTCCTGGGGTCAGGGAGGGCCTCGGCAGCCCCGATGTGAGAGTCGGAGAGACCGTAGCACAGCCAGCTCGGTAGCCGGCGGGGGTGTCCCTGGCCTGTGTGCCGTGTG